TGTGACCGCAACTTGCGACCGGGCCGTTCTGTTGCCGAATTGGTATCGGTTGCACTTGGTTGTAATCTATCAAGTTCATGTTTAATCCCATTGATAGCTTTTTCCTTATGCCTTTTTAAACCAGGTTCTACTACTGTCGCCGTCTTGGCAGTTTCCCGTTGAGCAGGGAGAATTTGCGTTGATGCGACCGGAAACTCGTTCGTATGAGTTTCGGTTTGAAGTTGGGGTTGTGGCTTCACCGTGTTCACCGTGTTCACTGTGATGGATCTATGAGGATTGGTAGGAGGAATGGGTCTTGCTAGAATTTCGACAGTAATTCGGGCTCTTTTGGTCTTGGGAGGGTCGTAGTTATTAGCGATAGAATCTAGAGGGCGCTTCATTCGTGAAGGACTCGTCTGTTGAAGGATGTTTTGCGAGTTTCGCGTTTTGATATGTGTCGCGATGGCATGAGCATGTTTAGCAGCCACGCTATTAGCGTCAAGACTTGCAGTAGTTGGATTGATGTTTTTAATATTAGGATTAATTGTGTGGTTAGTTGTGTGCTGTTGATGAGGATGAGTATGGGAATGGGGATGGGGATGGGGATGGGCGCGTCGCTGGTAGTGCTGCTGCTGGGGGCGCTGGAGCGCATCAGGTCGTCGCGAAGAGGTAGCCATCAATTCGTGGTGTATGAATTGACATAATGATCATAATGATCGCTGGTGGCACAGGACAAGATTAATATGGTATTTACGAAATGCGCATTGACGTACCAAAGCAATTAGATAAATTTCTTGGGGCCAAAATCAAACTTCTGGGCGCCTCTGTCATCAATTGATCACTCTTTTAGTTATTACAGATGCACGCGCGCAACGCTGGACTCTTACTATGGTACCCAACTATAGTTGTAGTATGTACAGTGCGCATCTAGGCAGCTCCTTTATGGTTTGGGCGTTCGCTATGGCACTCTCCCCCAGACTTGGAGGCCGCCTCCTTGTTCCGTTGTTCGTATAGGTACAGGTAGTTAGCTTAAACCTTACATGTAGGTACTATTGAACATTAGATGAGTCATCTAAGCACTGTTCTGTTAAACTGTATGCAAGCCCCCCCATGCACATGCCGTAAATATGTACTTGATTACCTCTTTCGATGTTCTAATTTAAAACATAGGAAGTAACAGCATGAAATGTACGGGACTGTATTCAGCAATGTATTCATCATCGTAACTTCAGTAATTTATATCTTAGATGTACATGTATTGTTTGACTCCAGACTCTTAAAAACCGAGCAACCTAATCTTTGTTTTGTAACAATTGCTTTAAATCTTCAACCTCCAAATATCAAATCAGCAACAACTATCCCAATTCCTAAATGATATACAAAGCAGATCGCTCTTAATGAGATAATGAATCTTGCCACACATAATACCGTCACAACGGATTAGGCTTACTGATGTCACACCATAGGGCTATCGAAGCGAGATATGCCGGGAAACGTACCTTAGTTCACCTGCAGGTTTTATCTTTCCGAAGCCCGCCTGATCTTGGTAACATGTCTGCTATTTGTAAACGGTCGATTACATGAAGCCATGGTCTAAACCAATGATGATAGGCGAGACCGTCTAAATCTTCATCTGAATTCCGAAGGAAGTAATGAAGGGGACATGTCCAAGTTACAAGCTCTTTACTCTTAATTGTCCTCGGATTTTCTACAATGTGTAGCCCAGTCTTCGCTTTGGTAATAGTTACTAGTTAACTATATCCGAAAACTATGAAGTTTCTAACTGTATAAATAAGTAAAAAAATATGCAACTGTAGCTCCTGTGTCTTTTGATACCATGTTAATACAGCAGGTATATGTTACAGATACGCTATAATTATAGCAAGATGTAGGTGCATATAACTTCACGAATGTCAATAATATTAAAAGTCACAGAAGCAAACTACATTTGAAAATAATATGACTGACTACCTCATTGCATACAGTTAAGTATACTCCTATTTATTATCACAAGCATTACATATGACATTAACCTATGTAATTAGTAAGCTCTACCGTTAAGTAAGCCCATTCCTCTTTCTCGCTGTCATGTTACACGAAACAGATGTTAAATCTGGCACGCACATAGTATGCCGTTTAACCGACATACGTATAGGTACCTTTGGGTAGGTAATTACGTCATTCTGGACAGAGCCACTGACGATATCAGGCATTTATACATATCAAAATTCCCTATACACCTACAATTACACGCATTACCTGGAGGTTTTCCGAATATCGTCAGTTTAACTTCTCAACTATCTAGGTAACCTATCAAACCTATCAGTAGCCACACATGGCATCGCAGCGATACAGTAGCCTTAAGCTTCCTCGTCTTCATTTTTAATGGTGACCTTTCTACTGTGACGATATAAGTCGTAAGATGGCCAGGATGGCCCATAATGTTACGCCAATACTGTCACCCGCAAGTGGACGATCTCCATCCCTATCCATATCTCTATCTTCATCTCACTCGTTAGCCCCGCAGCTCGCCGCCGCTACACCGGGGTCTCTCCCGCTAACCCCACCGTCATCGCCCGGTCCGTACAGGGAATCTAAAAATTCCCCGGATACTACTACATCACACCTGAGTCACCAGAGTCGCCAGGAATACTTAGACTCTCTGCAACCGCCATCCAAGGAGGAGTTCCAGCGTCTAACAAAACTACAAGAACAGCGCGAAAAAGAGCATAAGCGTCGCGATCAAGAGCTACGCCGCCAAAGCTTAGTAATTGCCCACACGAGCATGCAGGCAAGACGAGACTTCATGCAATCGAAGGTAGCTGAGGAAGAGGAGCGTCTAGGACACCATCACTCTATATTCAGGCATAAACATTCAAATTTTAAATCGCGCTCCAGGCCGAGTAGCAAGGATGCAATGTCTAACGGAAAAAGCGAAGCCGCAGATGACTGTATCAGGTCGAAGGCGGCAACCGTAATTCAACGAAGCTATCGTGGATATCGTGTGCGCAGAGAGATGCAAGGGCTAGGTTTAGATGCAGGTACCAGGTGGACACATGCAATCAGAGACGCACAATGGAAAGACCTAAACACGCCTCGAGCTAGACAGGAATCACAGGATAGCTCGCAAAGCATTGAGAACGGTGACGCAGGCAACCAAAGGACGCCTAGCAGTAGCCGATCCACAGCACGGAGGAATTGGATGAGGGTGGCCAAGATAGCCCGCCACGCCGGGGCAGATGAGGATTCTGACGATGCGGAAGATAGTTCATCCTCGTCACTCAACGAAGAGGATTTGCAAGGTATGCGTGCCGAAAAGAAGGCAGAAGTGAGAAAGAAGCGGATGAAGTCTCGAGCAAAGAGACGAGAACGCGCTAGAATGATGGGACTACAATACTTCCTAGAAATGGTCGACCTTAAGCATCGGTACGGGTCTAACTTGAGAGCATACCACGAAGAATGGAAGAAATCTAATACCAACGAGAACTTCTTTTATTGGCTAGACTATGGTGAAGGTAGGCAAATCGACTTGGCAGCCTGTCCTAGGGAAAGGTTGGATCGCGAGCAGGTGCGGTATCTGAGCCGAGAGGAGAGGCAGTATTATCTAGTGAAAGTCGATGTGGAAGGCCGTCTAGTTTGGGCCAAGAATGGCATGCGTATTGACACCACAGAAAAGTGGAAGGACAGCATTCATGGTATCGTCCCGATCGACGACCCTACGCCCTCATTCTCAGCAAATATCGAGTCACACGTACAAGTCAAATCTAACGTAGAATCGCCCCCACAGCCGCACAGCCACTCAGGTTCGTCGTCTCTGAGGTCTTCACGAGAGTCGGAGCTAGAAGCTGCAATGGCAGCAAAGTACGCGGACCCTGACTTTGACGACCGAAAGGGTGTTAGGAAAATCCGACACGTATCAGCCGCAACAATATTCAACAAGCTCCTCCGCAAGACGGTCCGCAAAAATACGTGGATATTTGTTGCCGACACATCGTTCCGCTTGTATGTCGGCGTCAAAAACAGTGGCGCCTTCCAGCACAGCTCGTTCCTACAAGGATCGCGGATATCCGCAGCCGGGTTGATTAAGATAAAAAACGGCCGGCTATCAAGCCTGTCGCCACTCTCGTATGTAACATTGAGAGTTCCTTCCCCCTTTTCGGCCTGCCTCGGGAGTTATTATTGCTCTCGAGGCTTGCTAGGCTCACCAAGCCCCTTACTAAAGAAGTAATCATTAACTCGTTAAATAGAGGCCATTACCGCCCTCCGGCTTCAAACTTCCGCGCCTTTGTGCACAGTCTAGAGGAAGAAGGCGTAGACATGTCGCACGTGAGCATCAGCAAAAGCTACGCCGTCCTAGTCGGGCTGGAGGCATACGTCAAGACGAAGAAAAAGGGCAAAGAGGCGATGCAGACGCTCACGCACCAGAAGCAGAAGCTGTTCGACCCCGAAGAGGCCCGGAAGAAAGAGGAGGCGGAGCTCGATACAAGCGAAAGCGCAGCAAAGGAACGGAAAGTTCTCGAGAAGGAGAGGGAAAAGGAAGAGGTCCGCCGCGTCGAGAATAAGGCGACTTTCAAGTTTACGCAGAAATTGCAGAGGTTTGGATTCCAACCGAGGACTCCATCTGGTCAAAAGAATAGCGACACGACAAATGATTCAAAGAAGCATTGATGACGGTATGAATAGCATTGGGTCGGGTAATACTTTACGGGTCTTGATTACGGTCTTTGGTTATCGGCGTTCCATCGTGATATCCTTTGTTTGCTAGAGCGGTATACATTGGCTGGAAGCTCATGACGGCGTTTAATGATCATACATTGCAGGGTTTTACCATCATAATCTCTTTAATATCAAGCTATGACGAGTCTTACCGGATAAGTCTTGTGCCTATGTCTCTTAATGTTGCTCTCTCTCTCTCTCTTAGACAGTATACATATCTACGCTATTCTCGAGTCCGTAATACTACAATATCTGAGGCATTATTCATACACAGAAACATAACGGTTCTTTATATAGTATCGATCCGTATTGATATTGCTTTGTCTCTGGCTAATTAACCAATACTAATGATAATATCCCATCTATTTAATAGCAGCGACGTGGTTCGTAACGAGGCAAGTCCACTCCGACGAACCTGTGTAAATAGTGTATCCATCATTGTGCGTCTGTCCCGTGCTCAGCGTAGTCCCCAGCTGCCAGAACAAGTCTGCCGCAAGACCCTTGGTCGAGAGCGAGGTCTTCTGCCACTTGCCCTCGACGCCGCAGTGGTCGGTTGTGGATCCATCTGTCTCGAAAGTCAGTGTCCGATACATACCTATAGATCAAAAATCAAGGACGGACTAGGTTAGGTAGGTAGGTATACTCACACTCCTCAAACAAGCAAGGCTTCCCCGCGGCCGCACAAGCCGCGCCATGGGCCTCGATCCACGCGTTCCCCCACTCGTTCTGCGTGCCCCAGGTACTCGGGTACAAATGGAACGTGCCAAAGTCCAGCGTGTCGATCTGAAGGTTCGCAGCGAAGTCGAGGCCCTCGCCGAACTGGTAGGGGTAGCTGCCGTCGCCGCCGCCGAGGCCGAAGCCCTCGTCGCCCAGCGTCACCATGTGGTTGGGGTCGAGGCTCTTGACGTAGGCCGAGGTCGACTTGGCCCAGGTGGTTAGGACGCTGGTCGCGCAGCCGTTGCAGCGCGGCTCGTTGGCGAGTTCCCAGGCGAATACCGTGGGGGAGTTGGCGTATCGCGATACGACTGCTTTGATGTACGCGCGGTATTGGTTCTGCGCGGCGGTGTTGGTGTACCAGGTTTTTTGGGAGCCGCCGAAGGCGGTTACGTACTAGGGCGCGAGGTCAGTTGTCTTTTTATATATATATCATCAAACAAGGACCTAATAGGTATTCGATCTCGCTACTACTAGATCTACCTAAGGGGTCGTTTTCAAGGGGAAAAGGGAAACGTGGGATTTATATGTTAAAAAACAGCAACAACAACAACTTACAGCCGCCATCCCACCATAGTCGCCCCAGTTGTTAACGAAGTTAATAATCAACTTGATACCGCGCTTCTCGGCAGCCGAGACCACGTAGTCGAGGCGCTGCAGGCCGTTGGCTCCCGTGTTGATAGTCGAGCCTCTTGCCGACAGGTATTGGAAGTAGACCGTGCCGGACCCTGGCTGAGACGTGACATCGTTGAAGCCCCAGACGCGCAGGATTTTGTGGCCCGCCGACTTGAGCTGGTCGAACGTCTTGTCGACATCGGCGTTATTGGTTAGGAAGCTGACCCAGTAGCTGTTTGTGCCTGCGTAGTACTTAGTTTCGCCGTCGATGTTGAAGAGCAGACCGTCCGTCTTTGCGAAGCCCGTTGCTGCGGGAGAAATAGCTTTAGTAGGACTGGCAGTTACTTTTGATGCGCTGTTCGCTGGGTCGGTTCCTGAATGTGTGTTAGTTCTCTGTGTAGTATGCCCACTTCTCTCTATTCTTACCAGGAACGCATTGTGAATACCATTGATTCGAGATCTGACAAGTAGAGCCCGAAGGACAAGCTGTCTGCCCCGTAAAGCCTTGGCCGCCACATTGTCCCCAGAGTTGCCCCTCAGCCGAGACAGCGCCGGCGAGCGAAAGAAGTCCGGCTACGAGATACTTCATGTTGAGTGAGTTGACCTGGAAGTTGAATACGAAGTAGCAAGTAGTGCGAACAATTTCTAATAAAGAGGCAACTCGAGCTACGTATATGTATATTTAAAGCAACTACGAAATACTTATGCGTAGTCCGCCCAGCCAATGTCCAGACATCACCGGTGAAGCCCTCATTGGCAAGCTATCGATCAAGGCGGATCGACGTGCTCCATCCATACATATGGAGAAAGGCTATTTAAATTGTATGGATGGCACCTCCAATCATCTCGACGGCCTAGAACTAGGTCCATCTCTGCGGATGCAATGCAACGAACGGTCGAGGCACCACGAGCATCACCCCATGAATTCCCCACACGGCAAAGTCAGGTACGGAATTATAAAAGGCCAGATGTACATCAGGGTCCTATGCGACCAATGTATCTGCTGATTGGAATTTGAAGATTTGGAAATGAGTACCTGCTTTTGTTTATGATGGCCGAGTTAATCTCTGGGGTGATATCCTAGGATCCTTGTCATAATCGGCCTGAAAAGGATCTAGTCTTTCTAAGACTAGAATAACAATGGCTTGAATCGCGGAGCAAGACTTAAGAGGCTCGCTGGGGCTTCCCCAATCGGGGTGAGATGAAGTCGGCGCAACGCTCTCCGAGACTCCTGATTCGAACATAAATCGCAACCTAAGCCCGCAAGCCAGTTCTATTTGTAGCTGTAAGGGTTTAAACGCAATTGGTAGTTTCTTGAATAATTATAGCTGTCTCCGAGAGCTGATACATCGCTCAAGTGTACTCCCATATTCGGAATTCTTTAGTGTAAAACTCAATGCTCATGGTATTAGTGAGTAAGTGGTTCGAGTCAGGAATAACCGAGTCAATCCCAACTGTCGATCTTTTGTCTTATTTTAATACTCTCAAAGTTCCCTATTGTGAACTCTAGGTTGTTTAATTGCCCCCGTTATTTATCGACGTATTGGACTTCTCGACTACTCCCACATTGTTCGTGGGGACCAAATCATCATGAATATATAACTTCATCACCTTGGGCCCCGGATAATGCCGAGTTCCATGCACAATCCACCATATCGACGAAAGCGTGAGAGTCCCAACAAGAATCACGCTATTGTAGTTCATAGCCTCGACGGTTGTGGGTATCTCATACGCTACGAAAAGAGGTTAGCAAGTCAACTCACACGAAGGACGGGGGTAGCTCACGGAAGCAAAATAATATGACAAACATTGCTATAAGCAAAACAGCTACCATATTCACTGCATATCCGAATTTCCCCATGTGAAAAGGCCCTGCGGGGAAATATTTTCGTCCGGTAATCATGTTGGCAGTAAACGGAATTGCGTATGACACCGTCGTTAAAACGATGAAAGAGCCCGTTAGAGCCAAGAAGGCGCTCGAGCTTCCCAAGGGGATTGCACCAAGACCAGTAGCGACAACAGACACGAATAGGGTTGCGTATATAGGACAACTAAGCTCTTCGTTAACGCTACCGAAAATGCCAGAGAACGGCACGGCATTGTCTCGAGCCAGTGCCCAGTACGTGCGTGAGTTCGTTAGCACCGTCCCAACACAACAGCACATGCTGGTGAGGAACAGGATGAATAAGAGGCCGAAGGTCGCCCCTGAGCTACCTGTCGCTTGCTGGTATATGACAGCAAGGGGATAGGTATTGATGCCACCTTGTAGCGCTGAGAGGTCTGTAATGGCGTAGCTAAGCGCAATAGCGAAAACAAACGCGTACAGGAAGCCTAAACCTATCTGAAGCGCCATGGCTTTTGGAAGGTCTCTCCTTGGGTGTGGAAGTTCTTCTGCTATATGGGTAATGGCATCAGGCGTGCCGATGGTAAACGCGCCGTTCAACACTCCTAGAAGGAATGCAACGCCACCTTGCCAGCCCGTCACTATCATATCGAAGTCAGTAACATAATAACATTATAGAGAATATGTTGGGAAGAAGCCGAATTTACGGACTATATCTATGAGCTCGAAGATGTTATGTGCTCAAGGAGTAAGGTTATGTTTTGAATGATACTCACAGTTGTTTTCCTCGAACGAACCCCATACAAAATGGTTAGAGGCGTGAGAACCTGGCCTCATAGCCGAAATCACAATGATCGTCACGATACCTCCGACCATGACGAGGAACATTCCGAAATTCTGGGTATATGGGATGAGTCTATTCGCAAAAATAACGAATAAGGTTGAAGTCCATAGGACACCAATGAACGTGACGTAGACATGCCAGGAATCTGGAACGTAAGTGTCCCGATGGTAAACCGCGTACATCTGAACAAGAATATTGGAGGTGATTTGAACTAGGGCTGCCAAGTCAAACATCCAGCCATAAAAGTTGATCCAACCTGTGAAGAACCCGACGGTTCGACCCCAGTTTGGCCCGGCTGCGATGGTCGCCCAATGATATACACCGCCAGCGGTGGGAACTGACGAGGCAAGCTTAAAGAGAAGTTAGCATCCAAATTAATTTCCCATAACTTTCTCAGGTCTGTTGGGTCTCTATAAGAGGAAATTGGAGGACAACATACCTCGGCCAGACTCATACCTATAAAGGAATACCAAAATAAAGCAACAACAAGGCCAAAAATCAGACCTGGAGGCCCCCCACTTACTGTTGATAACCAAGCTCACGTTAGTTCGACATCGAGAAAAAAAGAAAAAAAGGAAATCATGTATCCAGTTATGAGTAGGGCTTTACTTACGAATTGAAACTGATATCGAAGATCCTAAAGCTGCCCAGGCGTTATCAACGGTAAGGGCAAAACCGACGATTCCGAGAAGACCATATTGACGCTTTAGCTGATCTTTATATCCTGCGGCATTGACTTGTATGCCATGGTCGACAGCGACAACTGTATCGTTGTCCAAGCCTCCCAGTTCGGGTTTCTTTTCCTCGTCGAGAGTAGGTGTATTCCCCGTCATGCTTGCTCTTATGACTCTGATACCCTAGATTCTTAAATGTGTCTAATGTATAGATCTCTTTAACTTTAATAATAACTTTAATAATAACAGAACCGACTGAAGAAATGAGTGGCAAGTCTTTGCTTTATAGAAAGTAACAAGCAACAAAGTATAGAGTATACGTTGGGGGGTTGCTCGGGATCAGATAAGCGACATCGAATCGACCATTGCGGGCATATGCAATTCTGTGCAGATGCAGTGGCACGCTCATTCTTGTAGGTCCGTCAGCCTAGATGCAACTGAATCTTGATCCCTGGCTGCTGAAATGTGATGAAGAGATAAGTAAGATAAGACAATCTCCGTTTGATACGATCTGCCCACTCGTCGCGCTGCATAGAGCTGGGGTGTATCACCCAATCAGATTAGAGGAGATTCATGGTCAACCCATATGATTCCGTTGCTACCCTCGGCCTCCGTGTAAGTGCTCGTTGGTACGTATGTAGAAACTCCCTTGTATCGTAGCATCTCTCTAGTTAGTAGTTGGAGATGGATGGTCATAACTGTCTACACGTATAAACATAATGGAGCATAGGTTGCTTTGATGTAACATGCGACAGGGTCTTCTCGGTATTGATCGGTTAGGCTAACTGTAACAAGAGAAGTGCTATCTTATCAGGAATTATAGTAAAATGTATTTATAACAGCCAAGCTAAGTCAGAGATAAATGAGAGTAGATGTGAGCGATTCTTTAAGAATGCGATGACGTTTGAAGTTGTCAAGATTTCGTTTGTCATTTCTCTTTTCAAATCTCTGTCAATTGATATAATTCGATTATCAAATACAGAATGCATTTAGTTATGCGTATTAGTACATTATGCAGTTGTCGGGATTTAATATGCAAGCCCCTTTTCATAACTTACCTTCATTACTCTATACGACTACTTCTAACTGGCTCAGGGAGTATGAAATCACCTTATTTATAACTTATTTATAAGTCAGTATGAATTTGACCATGATGTGCTTTTAGCTCCAATTGATGGTGCGATCCACGGAACTCCACGGACATGCTTATAAATTTGAATATTAACATCTCAATGCCCTAGGTTATGCTTATGTAATGTCATATAAACCCCCTTAACCTCTTCTTAGTATATATTGAACATCAATCTACCTATTATGTAGACGCCAAACATCAGTCTGGTGTGCAGGAATTACCTATTAATTACCGGGATATTTTACATCTTACAATGGCCCAGCCCGTCCCAAAGACCACGAAGCAGTGGAATGTCGTAGGCTACGATGGCCTTGAATCCCTGAAATATTCAGAGCAGCCAGTGCCTGAACTCGGCGATACCGAAGTCTTAGTTAGAAGTAAGTTTCTAGTTAGTAGACTCGGTCGATACTTTTATCTGCATCGTTACTAATTATTGGTCATAGTTCATGGTGCCTCTTTAAATGTCGGTTCGCATATTTACCTTCTACTCACAAAACTAACCTCAAATCTAGTTTCGAGACATCGTGGTCTCTCAGGGGAAATTCCCCTGGGGCACCAAGCCAAACGTCGTTCCTGGCTCCGATGGAGCGGGAATTGTCGTAGCTACTGGGAGGCACGTTAGTCGGTTCCGGCCAGGCGACAAGGTCATTACCGCTCTCAACCCTCGGCTGATCGCAGGATCGTTCACCGAAGAGTTGTCAAAAGTTGGTCTTGGTGCCTCAGTGGACGGCACCCTACGCACTGCCGGAGTTTTCGACGAGCAAGGCCTTGTCTCGATGCCCGAGGGCCTAACTTTCCCGGAGGCTGCGACGCTTAGCTGTGCGGGACTCACGGCTTGGAATGCGCTCTTCGGCCTATCTGGGAAACCAGTCGCTGCCGGCCAGTGGGTTTTGACGCAAGGCACTGGTGGGGTGAGCATCTTTGCCGTTCAGTTCGCTAAGCTTGTCGGCGCCAGGGTTATCGCGACGACGAGCTCACCCGAGAAAGCGAAACTTCTTGAGAAGTTGGGTGCTGACCATATCATAAATTATCGCGAGACCCCCGACTGGGCTTCCGCAGCCAGGGAGTTTACTGGAGGATTCGGGGTTGACTATGTTATTGATGTCGTGGGGCCGACTTCGCTGAAGCAGAGCGTCGCAGCTGTAAAACACGATGGCGTAGTCTGCGTCTTAGGAGGTGTCGGCGGTGGTGACGGGGCTGCGGAGATGCCCGTCTTGTTGGATTGCTGGATGAAACTGTTCACGGCTCGTGGTCTATGGCTCGGCACTCGGCTCCAGATGGAAGATATGTGCCGCGCTATCGAGGCCAATATAGACAAGTTGCGCCCTATCGTCGACCCTAAGATCTTTACGCTGGAACAGACGAAGGAGGCATATGAATATCTAGCCTCAGGGAAGCACCAGGGGAAGGTTTGCATCGAAATTGCGTAATTTTAAACAGGTACATATGGGGTATATTGACGACTCTCGCGATAGATACACATATATACACTGATATGTTGTTCTTTGAACCATCCTAGAAAGTGTTTCCTCAATCGAACGTTCCCAACCACTGGAGTATTACGATCGATCACTCTGGCAAGCAACTTTTTATTGACTCGCTGCAGACATGTATCCAGCGCCCGAGACCGAAATATCGTCGGTCCCGCTCGTCAGCCAAGGATTGTGCGCGTTTCTCTGCCCAAGCGCACTGGTCTCTCAAACTTCTTGCCTTAGCATCCGGGTCGAAATATTCTACTTCGAGTTAGTTGAAGAAATATGAAGAATAGGAAGCCCCTAGTAGATTGTATGCGGACTTCACTAGCAAGGAAACTAGGTAACTAGACGTACCTTGACAGCTCGGGCAGTAATACTTCCACCTAGTAGCCTTTTCAACCCAGCCTTCATGATCCACATACATAGGATAGAGTCCAGACTCCGTTTTAGGCCGATCGTCGGCACAAGAGCAGCATTGTCTAGAGTTGGCAGTCATATTACACCCGCTCTCCGACCAGTGGCTACAAGGTGGAAGGTCTTGATTATTCTTCGGTTTGGAACTTGTAGGTTTCTTATCATCCTGATAGCTCTTTTCGTCATGATCATCTCCGACAACTTCCTGGTACGATTGGAGATCATCTCTAGCTTTATTTGACTGGAATTTGCTTGATTTGTATGCCGGCGGCTCGTCGCTGGGGTCGTCCCGCCACGGCTTCTCCGATGAAGTTAGAAGACGCCCTGTCATGATGTGATCCTACGGTTAAAGCCTTTTGACGACAATGCAAACGCCGGTAGAATTAATTATCGGAACTTAGGAGATATTTAGAAGAAGGGAAAGAAGGTTCGATTATAAGTTTATTGCCGTGGCGTGAATCAGGTGTTTTGAGGCTGTGTTCGACATTACGATATGGTATTGCGGCGAAGTAATTATAGAAACCCCACTATATGCGTCGATCATGATACAGATGGAGTTATACGATCAGATAAAGGACGTTTCATAGAAACAATACATACAACATCACGATACTTTCATGCTCTAATGAGAAATCTACATCATGCCGGGTTTTCGACCGATTCGCTCCCGCTTCTACGGTGGTTCGGATTTGAAATGGGACTACACATTCCTACGTTCAACATTGTCTAGAGCTTAATCTTGAATACCCTTTGCTTTAACTAAAACTTGAGTAATTAAACTACGTTATGTAGGTAGATATATATTTGGAAGTAATTCGATAAGCTATTCGAACTTTGGTACTCGTAGCCTTTCCCGTGTGATCAACAGAGACCGTAAGGGCGGAAAAGGGGTAAAAGGGGCTGATCATTAAAATATTGTCTGGTACACTTCTGTCAACTATAAATACTAGATTCAAGTAGGATGTACGAAGGAAAACAAACCGGTATCTTAAAAATTAATTCGCGTTGACTGGTAATGTACCTAGGCTATTTTGTATTTACGTCTTCGCATAAATTTCCCCTCCAAAAAATACAGGAGGCCAAGCAGAAAAAGAGAAACTCGAAGGACAGAAAAAATAAATGAAAAGGATGTACGTAAGAATCAGAAATAAAAGAAAAAAGAAAAGCAAAAAAAGCTCGGTCTGGGTGTTGAACCCAGGACCTACGAAAAACTACTTTGTAAGCATCGTACTGTCAAGTCACGGGCATACCGGTCCAGCATATGACACCACGGTGCAGTTTTCTCTAGCCTCCAGTCACCCAGGGTTACTTCCTTTTTGCGGGGTCGGCTGAAAGTTGCTCTGCTTTTTGGCCTTATATCCTTCAGTGCGGCGGCCTAGGCGACCAAGGCAGCCGGCAGGCCAGTCCGGCGACTGGCAGAATAAACAGGTAGCCATTTAATTTGGGTGCTAGGAAGGCGCAACTATCTCGCTACAGTTGTCAAAAACAGCTTAGGCAGTGGACGCAGCGAGATCTAAAGACTACAGCGACTGGTACCTATCTGTAACACAGCTGGCTAAGTGCCGTAACCGATAAATAGATTAATACAAAGAGAATATTTTGCGTTGATATAGATTTACAGATAACCTCTACCTAATCCATGATCCCCTTTTAGCTTAAATTTTGCTTGGATTTAAGATATGTATGCCTCAAAATAAGTTCACAGACAGGAATAAACAAGGCTAGACGTGAACCAAGATATATGAGTAGCTAGCGTGCTTAATAGCACATACAATACATCTTATCTACATCGTGCATATCGTGAGTCTATAGGAAACTAAAGTTTATCGGAAATATCCTGGGAGACTTCATGGGCTAGTCATAAGGGGCTTTTGACTCTTAGGTCCTACCTCGTCGAGTTGTAATACAAGAGCTTCACTAGTAGCAATAAACCTTTTATGCCTTGGGATCTGGCACAATAATATAGAGAATAATATAGAGGAAGCCTTTCATATGACCGAACGAACCGTTATCTTTTCTTCTATTCTAACTCCCTCAAGGTCAACGCTAGCCAGCATCTTGACGTCCCCGCTTAGGTATATGGCCTGCGTTACCCAGAACTTCAATCCAACACACAGCAGAGATGACATCGCTCAGTACGTTAGGTAAATTTGCTAGTTACAATAATTCATAACTACATAGCATCGCTCAGTAATGTCGTGACTCTCGCAGATCACATCACTGGGCCTCACCCTTCTCTGGTTCGGGCTCAATAGTATTTTCCACATACGGGGGCGGATCCAAGGAGGCATCGCCATCGACCCATACTTGTGCGAGCTCTTTTTCGATCTCCTCGTGCCGTTGCTTCCACTGCTCAACTTGAGACAGCCTTTCGCGAAGTTCTTGTAGTTCCCGTTCTACCTGCATCTTCTCCCTCTCTGTTCCAATCCGCTCAAACTCCCATTTGTCGCCGGTCTCACCCATCCCAAGCATGAGGTTAAAGGTGTGGTATTTCTTCAAAGAAGCACGTGTCGAGATGGTAATCAAAGCTGCGATTTGTTAGTTATGGGTAGAAGAGGTATTTATCACGTGACTTACTAATGCCCCTTTCCTTGCATGTTTCGTATAGTAGACCCTCGACGTCGCTTGAGACAGCACTCGTGCCCTCGTCGATTACAGCATATCGGGGTTCGTGGTATAGTAACCGGGCAATGCCAACTCTTTGCTTCTCGCCGCCACTCAGAACATCCTTCCATTCCTTCCGAGTATCCCAGCCGCCCTCTCGGTCAGGTAAGTAGCCAAGCTTGGCAGCATCCAACACTCGCTTTAGTTCATCCTCGGATTTACGCTTGAGGCGCATGTCTAGTTCACCATCTGGATAGATGACTTGATCACGCAAGGTGCCCACGCTTAAGTACGGCCTCTGAGGCAAGAACATAATTCCATCCTGACCAATCGACTTGGGCTGACTCACTAAACCACGGTAGACTGGCCAAAGTCCAGCAAGGACCCTAGCAATAGCACTCTTGCCAACACCATTCGGACCGGATATTAATAAGTGCTCTCCTCGGTGGATTATCATGGATAGTGACTCTAATAATTCCTCGCCACCTTGAGGCCATAGCCCAGGCGCAACGATAGGTACATGCTCAAATCGTACGCCGTCAAAGCCCTTCTGGACGGTACCCTGGACGTCGGAAAGCGAGTATAGTTCGTTGCCGCTTGGTCGCGGGACGTATGCGTCGGCATGCACGCGGTGTAGCGTCGAAATTAGGGTATAAACGCGACTAGTGTAACCAGCCAGTTCGGAAAGGTCCTTAATTGAGTACATCATGCGCCCACCCGCGTCCGCGAGCGAGAGCATAAGTCGCTTGTTCGTGATGAAGTCCTTCATACGATTGCGCTCTCGGCCACCCCTTTCGGCGCTGTCAACCATCTCCATTGCGCCTCCTAAGCCGCCCCAAGCTGGGAGGAAGACCGGTAAAGATGACAAGAGATAACCGTAAGCACTCCAGCTGTATTTCAAGATAAAATCTTCGAGGATATTATAACGGATCTTAAGTAGGTAGATTCCTTCCATCCAACTCTTGAGGGATTTGAATTCCTTGTTTAAGAAAGACTTTTCCATTTCAGCACCACCATAGAAAGCGACTTCTTCGGCATTTGCGATCAAACGGGCATGAAGGCTTCTAAAGTCTCCTTCTTTGCGTCCTTCAACTGCTTTGAGCTTTCCAAAAGGAGGCGACACCTTTCGCAAAATACTTGCTGTCAGGAAGTAGTTGCTCATAAGACCGGTTAACGCGAGTGGACCTAGTGAGCGATATAATTGATAATTGAAAACACAGAGATCGATGAATGGCTTCCCAAGTGAGGAATATAAATTGGCAGCTGAAGCGCAGAACAGGGTTAGATCTTGTGTAATGAATTGGTCGGCTCCTTGTCCGACGCCGCCGTCCAAGTTGGATATCTTGTAGTAGTTGAGATTGTCATTAAGATATAAGTCGTGGATATATCTTGTTAATCGAGTTCGGAATGCGATAGATACTTTAGACTCGAGGAATTTGATCATGGAATTGGTGTAGGAGGCAAAACCACCAAGTCCGCACCACTTAGTTTAGTCAGTGACACATTCACAACCGAGTTTGATATAGAATCGTAGCATACCTTTGCTATACCCCAGAGGAATAACCTTCCATTACCTGCGACCAGGTCGCGAACAATCTCACCATCTAGGCGCGCAACTACTAACGAAAGATAGGTGCGAAGCATCAGAAACGCGCCATGGCTGACCAATAACCCGGCCTCTTTGCTAGTCCATCGCGGTATCATAATACTCATCAGGCTGAGAAACTGATGTAGGAAAGCAAGATTCAGGCCTGGTTTGGTTTGAGCTGAAGGAACGGTTCCATCGCCAAGTCCCGAAACCTTGGGCGGGTTTAGGAAGAGCCTACGATGCGCTTCGAAGGTCAAAGGTTTCGTCCGATTAATAACCACTTTGGACGTTCCGTCCTTATACGGAACGTATATCGTTCGCGAGCCATCTTTATTGAATAACCATGAATTCGTGCGCAAGAGCTTCCGTCCTTGCTCTTTCTCCTGCCTTCTCCGGTTCCACCATCTCCGACCACCTTCAGCGCTGAG